ATCTGACAGTTCTTTGCAGCCAATCCCGGATTTAGAATCTTGGACAAAGCAAGCATAAACCTGTAAACTGACCAAGTCACTTCTAATGAAAGATCTTTACCATTCTGAGTCTTCAGATATTTGAGAAACGACTTTGTTGTCATAAAACAACAAAAATAAGACCCAAGGTAGGATTACTTTTTGAGGAAACATAGATTTGTTTTTTACTCTTTGAGGATGAATTTTTTATGGTCTCGCATTTCTCTGAGGGGAGCATTTTGTCTTTTAGCTGAAGTGGAAAGACAGAAATCTGCCAAGCTGAAGTTTTTAGGTTCCTGTGTGTGTGTGTGTGTGTGTGTGTGTGTGTGTGTGTGTGTGTGTGTGTGTGTGTGTGTGTGTGTGTGTGTGTGTGTGTGTGTGTGTTTGTGCTGCTATCAAACAGATGGGGCTTCTTCTTCATCTCAACCAGAGGCGACGCAGCCATCCATTTCCCTCCCTTCTCTTTCTTTACTTTCACACACCTTCCCCTTTTTCTTTTCTGCCCATCTCTCTTTGTCTCTGATATCCTCCTCAACTCTAGTGGGAATCTACCCATAATGCACCACGAGGAAATTGCCCCATAATGAATACAGCACTTTTAAATTGGAGTAGAGCTGCAGGCGGGGAGCAGACCGGCCACTGAAATATTCAGAACGCTTTATTAACGCTGTTATTCCTGGCAGATGCACTGTGCGCACTAACAGTTGGCGATAATCATGCAGTGCCACTGGGTTGTACAGTTAGTCATCTCCTCTCAGTTTGTATTCAAATCTGATTTATAGTCGTCGCAGCAAGAAAATCAATGTTACTGGACAAATAAAGCACATCAATTCAGATCCTTTTTTTCAATGCAAACGCTTCTAATTCAGACCTAATACGACCATATTAGTGTGTACGACGGCATGCATTTTAGGGATTATGTCACTGTTAATGTCGTGGGTGTCATGTGATTGACAGGAAGCAGATTTAATTACAAAGGACGTCAGCAGCCGAGACGTCTCTAACAATGACTGCTCTGAACATGTCTCTTGTCTATTCAGAAGATATGAATGTAATGAAAAAAGACTCAAAAAAATAAAATGAAGGTTTTGTTCTGACTGAATTTTCTGCTGCTGTGGAAGATGGCTTTTTGGAAGTGCTATTTTGTGAGTTAAACGAGGAATACTGAGGCTGGGAACATCTCAAACACAGAAATATAACCAGACTGCAGATCTGCTTTTGAGCTTTTGAGCTTTTTAGCATCCGTTAGCACGTTGTTTGGGTCTAATTGCCTCATATCGTGTAGCTAGCTGCATACCGACGGCTTGTCGTCAGATGAGTTCTAATAATAAAATAAGGCAATATTCCCTCTCGCTCATGTCAAACAATACACTATGTTTGACCCACTTTTCCCCAAAAACCCGACCAGCATAGCACCTCATCCTCACTTGCTTCCACACCCTGTGCTGTTTATGTCACCGTTTAGCACTAATCTTTTTCATTGAGGCTACATCACTCTTCATCGGTGTGTGTGTGTGTGTGTGTGTGTGTGTGTGTGTGTGTGTGTGTGTGTGTGTGTGTGTGTGTGTGTGTGTGTGTGTGTGTGTGTGTGTGTGTGTGAAGCGAAGGACGACGCTACCGCTGAACTGGGTCGAGGGTAACACGTTGCTATAGCAACTGCTATTTGCCTGCCCTGGGGCCAAGCACTGCTTTTCATCGCTTACACTTTCTCTCTCCGTTCATCCTCCATTCATCCTCTGCCGCTTTCTTCACCTCCTTCCCTTTGTTCATCCGCTCGCTCTTCATCGATCTCTTCCTTCCTCTCCTTTCACCTTTCCTTTCTCTCTCGCTAACACTACCACTTGTTGCTTCTCTTTTGTCTCAAACACAATCAAAGAGCCAGCCTCTATCTGTCCAACTCTGCTAATTGAAATCCTAATTAAAGCAAGGGGACACTTCCTGGTTTTGAGGTGACAACAACATTTTCGATATACGCGATCCGGCCGCTGTGCTCCCAGGAACCCCTGCGTCGTCCTTGGTCTGGGATTGTTGAGATGATATATGATGCAGAAGGAGCGTTACATACTGTCTCGGCAATTAACTCCAGCTGGCTCACTGTAAGCACTGCGTGGGCATGCAGCCATATTTCATAGAAGGAGCAGCGATACGAGAGGCACTGAGATGCAGCGAGGTATAAAACGGGAGCGATGGGCGATGGGCTGTGTGTCACCTAAATTCTCCTCTAATGAATAGCTCATTGATTCCCATTAGGGCCGGCTGGAGCTGACCACTCCGGCCTGTCTGCTTCCCATTAGCACACTTTAAAACTGAGGCTGACAAACAGTCACACAGCCCTCAGGCGGACCGGATGAGAGCCCCGCTCAGTGTTTAAAAGAAACCTGGGAGTTCAAACAGGAAGCTGCATGGGGGACAGCAGGAGCTTTAAATACCAGTCATGCTCTTTTAAACTCCAAAGTATTCTCTTAAAACAAATCCTCTCTTTTCCCCGCCTTGCAACAAGGTGAATATCAAGATAGCAGGCGGGTCATTCCTGATTTGCATTTGAAAGAGCAGGATTATATCTCACTTTCATGTCTTATTCTCTTCTCCAAAGGAAAATACTTGTTGTTTTTGAGCGCTGCAGCTTCTCAACGGCCTCCCGGTCCTCATTGTACCACCAGTGAGTCCATTGCAATCCCCCCGAGACCTGGCCTCTTTCTGGGCCCAGCCTTATCAGCTCCACCTCTCCATCAGCCCGCTTTCTTCATTAGCATTAATAGGATTTGGATCTATTATGCAACTGTTTGGTTACGCAACGCGCGGTCTTCATCGGCAGCGCACAGGAGCATCTTAGATTTACAGCTTTTCATTCACTCAGACACGGAGCGAGGGGAGTTCTCAATATGTGTGGGCACTTTATCCCAAACACAGGTCAGATACAAGCCTCGGCTCTTATCGGAAAACATTTAAGACTGATAAAGGTGGGTAAAGACTGTCATGGTTAATAATCCTATTTTCTGGAAACATATATATTAAAAAGTCCTTAATATAGTAGTTTCATATGTCACATTTGAGTGTACGCCTATGTTCTTTATCTGTACTGAAGGGTGAGTGCACATGAACGCCCCTTTAAGTCAGAACAACTACTACATTGGCACGTTAAAGAAGCCCTATTATGCTTTTTGGGGTTTTCCCTTCCCTCTAGTGCAGGGGTGTCAAACTCAAGGCCCGGGGGCCAAATCCGGCCCGTGACTCCATTTAATGCGGCCCCACAAGAGCCTGCAAAGAATATAATATGTTTATTATACGGTTACATGCCGCTTTACATTGCCCATAAACTACATGTCCCACAATGCATCTCAAATTAGACTTTTTTCTCGGAATTTGACTTTTTTTTGGTCAAAATGTTACTTTTTTTTCAAGATTTCGCGCATTTTTTTTTGTTTTTCCAGAATTTGGCTTTTCTTTTTAAATCATTTTGTGACATGCGCACTGAAGAGACTTGCAATTGTTTGCCCTAGACTTCTGCTCTCAGACGTAGTTAATTATGAAGTTATTACCTTATCTGATAATAATCCAATGCAGAGGCAAGCATGTAATATAATACATTATTTTATATATATTAAATATTTACATACGTATTTTTATATAGTCTTAAAGTTACAACCGGCCCTTTGAGTGCAACCATGATGCTGATGTGGCCCGTGATGAAATTGAGTTTGACACCCCTGCTCTAGTGTGTTCTATAGGTTTTTGTGCATGTAACTGTTCACGTTGAGAAACCTGATCCCAGTAGTGAAGCTATCGATGACTCCTCCTCAGCAGGGAATCAATCAGCTCTTTTAAACCTGTCAATATCAAACGTGTAACACGACCCGACCTGAACGCAACACGGCGGACCTGTCATGTGGTCGCCTGTGGATTCGTAGGCTTCAAGACATGAAACATTTGGATTCAACAAACTTCTTCTGAACATTCAAAAATAATGATGATGCCTCAGATGTGCCAAATGGAGCAGGTTGTCATGGAAACAGCAAAAGGACACACACACACACACACACACACACACACACACACACACACACACACACACACACACACACACACACAGTTCGTTTTGACTTTGTTTTTTCACGGCAGAATAACTTCCTGCTTTGCTGAAGGAGCTATTTTTAACGACTGTTATATAAGATGCGGCCCCTGCGCTCGATTAAATGTTTTCTCTTCCCTTTCATATTCCTCGTCTTCCCTCTGATGAGAGCAGAAAGACCCGTGTTTCCCGTACGCTTAATGTGAAAAATAAACAAATAATTCATCACCATCATTCTTTAGAAACTGCTCAAGCACAAGCGATAACTGTCCATCGTTTATAATCATTTCAAAGATGTGAAAACGCTTAAAAAGCTCTCAAATACATGCAAGACGTGCAGAGCAATTTCCAAGTTTAAATTGCACCGAAAACCAAAAGTAAATGAAGCCAAACACGAGTCTTATCCTCACTTTCATCTGCAGGAGAAACCTAGTAATCTTCAGTATTTGCCGCTCTAAAATCACCTCACTGATGCCCTAGAAAAGGACTTTTATCTTGAAATAAAGCTGAGTTCATGAGATATTCATGCACGTGAAATGTTTCTTTAAAGACAAAAGGGAGATGGTTTTTTTTTGTGAGCATGTAGTGCAGCTAACATGTAATATTCAGCGCTCCCAGCTGAGCTCAGTGAACGCACACTAACGGAGTACCGTGCTATGATTAGCCGCTCGACGTGCTGACAGGGAGAAGTGTTGTCCACGCTCTCGCTGTACACGCATTCAGCCGAAGCAGTAAGATCACTCATGTTTCTGCACATGCAAAGAGAGCGTTGCAGTGAGTGTCATCACCGAGCCACCGTATGAGACACCGCAGTGTGCCCGGTTTGCTCCTGATGGTTCAAAGCACGCATTTTCACTGTAAAATCTGACCGAAGCATTGCATCAGTGGTTTGCTCCTCTCTCTCTCTTTGTAGGATGCTTCGAGTGCTGCATCAAGTGCCTGGGGGGGGTGCCCTACGCCTCTCTGGTGGCCACCATCCTGTGCTTCATAGGCGTGGCTCTGTTCTGCGGGTGCGGCCACGTGGCACTGAGCGGCACCCTGACCATGCTGGACAACCACTTCTCCACGGTGACCACGGACCACGCCACCCTCACCATGGTGTAAGTCTTTCTACCCCACCCCTTCATTGAGACTTAAAGGGCATTGATGAGCTCTTGGCACCCTTAAAGGATTCAGTGGCCTTGCAGTTGAACATACTTCTGAACTGTTAGCGAATATCTCAACCAAATTCTTTTTTTCCTGTGTGTGTTTTTAGAATCCAGATCTTTCAGTACATCATCTACGGCATCGCCTCCTTCTTCTTCGTGTACGCCATCCTCCTGCTGGCTGAGGGCTTTTACACCACCAGCGCCATCAAGAAGGAGCTGCAGAGCGACTTCAAGACCACCGCGTGTGGGCGCTGCATCACCGCCTTCGTATGTGCGCACACACACACACACACACACACAAACACACACACACACACGGGCAGCTGCTGCCAATCATCACACCCGCTGACCCAGATAGATGAAACCCTCTAGATTAGATCACTTTTGATGTGTTTTTTATAAGGTCCTGGCTTAGGAACACAAAGCAGACATTTACAAGCCTGATCATTGTAAGAGCTGCTGGGCACAATCACACACACACACACACACACACACACACACACACACACACACACACACACACACACACACACACACACACACACACACACACACACACACACACACACAGCCCTTGAGGGTAACTCTGGCACAGTTTGTCCTTTCTGGCCTTATTACACTAATTGCTGCAGATGTCCAGTAACATTAGCTTAGACACGGACTCTAAATGTCCTGATGGAATGATATTAACCTATTTCTCCTTTGAAAACTTTTGGGGAAACTCAAAAGGACATGATATTAATCTCTTGTCTAATTACTCCTCCTCAGTTCATGTTCCTGACCTACATCATGTTCCTGGCCTTCCTCGCCATTTTCGGCTTCACGGCTATTCCCGTTTTCCTCTTCTTCAACATGTGGACTACCTGCTCTGCCATGAGGTCTCCTGACGCCAACATCACCTCGCCTGACTCCATCTGTGTGGACGTCAGGCAGTACGGTGAGCTGCCCCACATACACTCATTTATCTTCTCTGTGTGCCACTAGTGTTTCTCTGGGTACGGTTCAATTAAACATCATATTAAACATGTTCAGGTTCATATCAGTATGTAGTGTCTCTACTGTGACATGTGTCCATGCTTTAATGTTCAGAAAGCCCTTTATGTCTCTCATACTGCCTGTGCTGAATCCTTTTCGCCCTCTGTCTGAAACCAGGGACAGGGCCTCTTTAAAGGGAATTTAAAGAGCTGTTTATCAGGATTAAAAGTTGGATTGTTTCCTCGTGGCCCTCCAATTATGTTTTTCTGTATTCTAATAAACCACAGTCTCCTGCTGAGTGGTGGTGTTTCTCTGCTCATCCCTGAGTGTGTGGGTGTTTCTCAATGTCGAGGACACTTGCTTGGTAGCACATGTCTTCCGAGTCACTTGCTTCAGACTCGAAATTTCCCGCTACGAAGTACTCCGGCCTCAGTAGAATTCCAAAGAGGTTTCTCAATTCTTAAATTTCCCCTCCTCGACTCCTTTCCTCGACTCCTATCCTCAATACTTAGTCCCGCCCACAGGAGATGCGAGCGGAGGA